CCCCCCTCCAGACCAATCAGGGTCTGTGGACGGGGAAGCACGGAAGTGGCCTGGCCCCGCCCCTTCTGCCTGAGGCTGTACCCTTTCCAGGATGGCTCGGGGTCACTTCAAACATTTCTGAAGTGGCCCGGTTAAAATTATTGTCCACCCCTGAGTTAACCAGGATTTTACATCACTATATTAAACACAATATCCCATGATTGGATATTAGGCACAAAAGAATTTTGGAACAAATAAGTTCCAAGGGATAACTGTTACCTGCCTAAGGTGAGTGCAGGAGTCCAGGTCAGACTCCCATGTGATTTCAATCACATTTGCTACATGGGTGGTCCAACCCCTACTCCCAATAGCAAAGCACAAGCATGAAATATGCTGTGTGCTGAAACTGACTCAGTTATTTAGTGTGACTACCTTGCTGGGTCCTGGCATGTGAGATGTTTTGCAACTGACAAACACAAAAAGGTTCCTGGTCTGCTGACCCACCAGTGTGTATGCTTCAGTCTTTACATATGCCTGCCAGTTTCAAGTGTTGCATACAGGTATTAGGAGGTAAATACCAATTGTCAGTAAAGTCAGAAGGCACAGCCAAAATGCAGCTTAACCAAGGAAGGGAAAGCATTAGAACAAATTTAAACTTTTGATTCAGTCCACTGACACTAGAGGTGGATGTAACTGAAGACAAATCAAGGAGGACTCTAGATTGGCTAACAGACTGGGAGTGTACAGGCAGTAGGGTGTACACCATTGGGCACTATGGCTTACACTGCTTTCAGGGGTGCTTGGCTGCATATATCACTACTCAGCATGCACCTCCTGCTGGACTGACAGCCAGTGTTCCCTAAGATTTTCCATCCATGATTACTTTTCATTAATGATTATTTTTTATTGTGAAGATAAATACAGATCAAACTTTTTGTAGTAGTTGACTAGCCATTGTCCAGTCTTCAAATATACTTTTAAATTATACTGAAAACAGTTATTCTGTGTTAAAAGCAATGTTTTATTGGGCAAAGATCTAACCTGATTTTTGCAGCTAGGTTCCAAACCAAATAATTCTTGCATCCAGTAGCATATATGTTGTGCTTCTGCCAAAGGGTTAATAGCAGTAGAAATGATCAGGTTTTATATACAGGCAGTCCCCGGGTTACATGGATCCGACTTACATCGGATCCCTACTTACAAACGGGGTGAGGCAACCCCGCACTAGCTGCTTTTCCCCCTATCAGACCAGGGAGACACAAAGCTAGCGCCCCACCCAGCAGACCAGGGAGACGCGGAGCAGCTTTTCTCAGCAGACACCTCAGCTTGAGAATAAAGGACTGAGGGAAGTGAGGTGTGGGAGAATAAAACTGAGCTCTGGAGAAATGTTTGGCTAGAGTTTCCCCTACAATATGTACCAGTTCCGACTTACATACAAATTCAACTTAAGAACAAACCTACAGTCCCTATCTTGTACGTAAATACCCTGAGGGAAGTGAGGTGTGGGAGAATAAAACTGAGCTCTGGAGAAATGTTTGGCTAGAGTTTCCCCTACAATATGTACCAGTTCCGACTTACATACAAATTCAACTTAAGAACAAACCTACAGTCCCTATCTTGTACGTAACCCGGGGACTTCCTGTATCTAGGGTCCTTCTTGACAAATAAGAAAACTGGCTTGTGACTCACCCAGAAACCTGGGAATACTAAACACAGCCTCCACAGTTAGTTCCCCACTCAGAGCATGCACAAACAAGGAAATCTTTATCAGGAAAAAGAGAACACTCATCACTGTGGAAAACACAAACATTTATATGTAACTCTCGTCCAGTAATTTTGGCAGTAATCAGTCTAATTCTCTTTCCACCAACCAGTGAGAATTTCCCACAGGTGTAAGTATCTTGGCCTCACCTTCCATCACATTTTTGCTTTATTTTCCCTGCATCCAAACCTGACAGATAAAGAAAAGTGCTCATTGATTTTTCAATACACTTGCTGAATTTCCTGCACTTGTATCCTGGGGAAGGAGAAAGGGACCCGCTCTAGCTCCAGCTCCAGATATTGCAGGAGCATGGGCACCACAAGCCCACTGTGACCGCCTCGGGGGTGCAATCACCCCCTCCTGGGGCAGAGCAGCCGCCCGCCACATGGCCCTGTCCTGAAGCAACTGAACAGCCACTAAGCAGCTCTGCTCAGGAGGTGGGCGGGAGGCAAATTCTTGGTGTGCCCCGTGTACTTTAGAGGAAACGCTGCTGACAGCCCTTGAGATAAAATCCTCTCTATCCCCAGAACAAGTATAGCACAAGCAGCAGCAGCAGCGCAAGCTCCTCCTGCATCTTATACCTCATTAATGTGCGTCAACCTAGCCCTGGAAGGACCTGCTCTGTGGTGAAAAAGGAGCTCGGTCACCATGGCTCGCTCATTCATTCACTCCTTGGAGCCTCCACTTGACTGCTAGCAAAAGGCACCAACAGTGTCAAATGAGAAGGGGGGTTGTGAGGCAGACACCAGTGTCAACTGGAACTGGACCTAGACCTCACCACTCTTTCATTATCTGCATCATCATGCAGAGGGTTGCCTATCTCTGGACCCACTCAGCACAGCTCCCCTCTTCCTCAAGCTCATCACTTACCCAGCTGGGAGAAGCGGAAGAGTTCATCCTCATTCTCTGTCGTATGGTCCACATTCAACTGGGTCACCTGCAACCCGTCCACCGTAGATTTGCACAGCAGTGCCCGGTTTGTACCTGTGGCGGCAGAAGCATGTGAGAGAAAGCAGAGAAAAGAGGGAGAAAATCCACAGGGATGATACAGGAGAAAAGGAGAGCTAGAAAGAAAAAGAAGGGAGGGAATGAAGAGCACGCATACCTTCACTGCAATCTCCTAAAAGTAGTCCTTCAATAGCATACAGAGCAATCTGGACCAACCCTTAATCCAGTCCTCAATCAGTGCTTGCAAAACACAGAAGGTTCCCTTCTTCTCTAGGGAACTTCTGCTCTACTGTACTCAGCCCCTTTACCAGATGTCTTTGGTCACAAACATTAGATTGCATCTCTCCAAAGATTGGCTAGAGCCAGCAACCAATTTTTGGACCATTTTCATTTCAGTGCTGCCCCCAATTAACTTGAATGCATTTCTCTCAATTGTTCCCCATTCTTAGGTTTCTCTTCATGCAGCTAGCGTGGCAGCCACCTTTAGAAGCATCCAGATCAAGAGGGTGAAGAAAAGGCACACACCTACATTGGCGATGTAGAGCTTGTTGTTGAGTATGACAGCCACAATTGCCATGGCTCCTCCAGAGATCTCCCGCTCTAAGGCCTTCAATCTCTCCAGGATCTTCTGGAACTGGGATGGCAGCTGGTGGTGGGGTACTCCCTAAAACACAGGGTAAAGTGGGAGCTTAAACATACAAGGCACAGAAATCACAACTGGACAATGCAAGCTCCTCAGGGCAGGGACCATCTTTAATTTTGTGTCTTGAGCAGAGTTTAGCACAGACAAACAGCAGCCCCAAATCTGACAGATCTTGGAGATAGGTGTCCTGTTTCTTTGCAGAACTGACCTTGCATAGGCACAGAGGCCATGCCCACTTCTCTGACTGCACGCGTCAGCTTTGTCTTAGAAGGAATTCCACTATAACGGTGAGCAAGGAGTTTAGTCTCCATGACCCATTCAGTTCTTGGCCTCTCTGCTGATTAATAGTAAGGAATCCAAGTAGTGCCAATGGTGACGGTAGGCTTATGTAATGTGAGAACAATGAGGACTGGATTGAGATCCCTAAATCACCTCACACAAGCCAAGACGAATAACAATTTTCTGTTACAGCCTTCCATGGGCCAGACCAAGGCCAGTGACCTAGAAGCAAGAGGAATCAAATCCCATCCAGCAATTTGGAGGGGGCAGGAGTGCATCCCTTCACTAAATTCCGATTACCTCAGGCAGCTGGGACTGAAGACTGGCCTTCTCTGCCAAGGCATCATCAATGGACTCCAGGAAACTTCTTTCTACTACATCGAAAGCCTACCAAGGGACAGGAAATATTAGCAGGAAACAAGTTAGCAGCAGCTGTTTTGCAAACACAACAATCTCATGTGTGTTTACCTTCTATCCTAACAAAAATGTACACTACTCAACAACTTTACAAACTAATTTATACACTTGCATATACACAAGGATTGTGAAACCCATCAGTGAAGTGAAATCACTCTGAAATGGAATGGTGAAACTGAGTAACAACATGTAGGAATATTATACAACAATTAAAGGCAGGAAATGAAGAAACAAACTCACAGGGAGACTAAAGAGATCTACGGATGCTTTAGGAAATGGTTTCACAATCCCATTTACCCACATCCTAAATGTCTTCCCTTTATTCACTATCATAATCAAAAAAGGTCAGTGGACATCAGGTTCTCAACAATTAATATTAACAACCAGGGGGAAGGAATGCAAGCCAAAACAGGGAAAGAAGTTAAAGAATATTTAGATAAATTACATGTATTCAAGTTGGCAGGGCCTGATTAAATTCTTCCTAGGGTACTTAAGGAACTAACTAAGCAATCTCAGAAGCATTAGCAATTATTTTCAAGAACTCACAGAGGAGGGATGAAGTCCCAGAGGACTGCAGAACAGCAGAGTATCTATCTTTAAAAAGGGGAGTGAAGTGGATCCAGGGAATTATAAACCAATTATCCTAACTTCAATACCTGGAAAGACACTGGAACAAATTATTAAATAATCAACTTGTAACCACCTAGAGGCTAACAGGGTTAAAAAGAATAGCCAGAATAGATTTGTCAAGAACAAATCATCCCAAACTAACCTAATTTCCTTCTTTGACAGGATTACTGGCGTAACTGGTGGGGAAGATGTCACAAATCTTGATTTTAGAAAGGCTTTTGATAGAAACCCACCTAACATTCTTATAACTAAGAAAAACGCAGTCTAGATGAAATCACCATTAGGTGGGTATCTAACTGGTTGAAAAACTGTACTCAAAGAGTAGTTATTACTTGTTTGCTATCAAACTGGAATAAGTCTGGTACTAATCAATATTTTCAATGACGTCTTGGATAATGGAGTGGAGAGTTTGCTTGTAAAATTTGTGGATGACACCAAGCTTGAACGGGTTGCAAGCACACAGGAGGACAAAAAGAGAATTCAAAATGACCTTGACAAATTAGAGAATTGGTCTGAAATCAACATGATGAAATTCAATAAAGATAAATGCAAAGTACTTCACTTAGGAAGGAAAAATCAGATGCACAACTACAAAATGGAGAATAACTGGCTAGGTTAACTGCTGAAAAGGGTCAGATTACAGTGGATCACAAACTGAATGAGCCAATGTCATGCATTTGCAAAATAAAGGTAGTATTATTCTGAGGTAAATTAACAGGAATGTTGTATGTGAGACATGGGAGGTAAGT